CTAGAATATGTTAGTTTGGACTTTATTAAACTATTTCAGGTTTTTTGGGTGTGTGTTTTTAAACAATCTAGCACTGGTGGAAAATTATTTTTCCTCCAATTTTTAGCTACACTTATTTTTGCCACAGTTTGTAGGTTTCCAACTATCTCTCCATTTGCATCAGGAACTCATTGTTTTAAGTAACTCAGGACTAATGTCCTGGTGCATTCTCCAGACAGGGTCTGACTCCTCTTTGAAATAAGATAGCATAAAATATGTTCCGATGTATCTTAAAGACAAACCAAATTATTATTGCATAAGCTTTCATGGAACACCAAAAAATACTCTATAATTGTTATTGTTGCTGGCATCTGTCTGGGGCTGCGGAAAACCCGAATTTCCATTTGTTGTTCCTCAGCTTTAAAGAGCAGGTTTTCATAGGGAAAGTCCAGGGCAAAAAAAGCTTCACCACACTCGGACATGGAGCTTTTAAGTGTAGACCCGTGCCTAGAAAGAGCAGGGCAAACGTTAAGTGTGGATAAGCCCTGTTTTTTTCTCCTTTTTGACAACATAACTAGCCTGATATACAGGGCTGGCTAGAGACATTTTGTCACTGTAGGCAAAATGTCCCACTGCTGCTGCCGCCGCCCTGATCCGGTTCCCCATCTCTCCCTGCCTCTGCCATCATACCTGTGATTCTGCCAGCAGCGAGAGCAGTGGGGATGTGTTGGTGGCACCGGAAAAGCCCCTGGGAGGCTGGCAGCAGTGGGGGAGGAGAATAATAATAATAATAATAATAATAATAATAATAATAATAAATTATTTGTACCCTGCCCATCTGGGCGGCTTCCAACAAAAATTAAAAATACATTAAAATGTCGCACAATAAAAACTTCCCTGAACAGGGCTGCCTACAGGTGTCTTCTAAATGTCAGGTAGTTGAGAGGGGCTGAGGTTCGATGCGCAACCTGAAGCTGCTGACAGATGATGGAGCAGATTTGTTTTTTGTGGATCCAAAGCAGCCTTTCTCAACCTTGGTGCCCCAATGTTGTTGGACTACAGCCACCATCATTCTTAGCCGCTATGGCCAATGGCTGGGAATGATGGGAGTTGCAGTTCAAGAACATCTGGTAACCCAAGTTTGAGAAAGGCTGCTCCAGGGGGAAGAACCTGAACCAGGGGCTCAAGGTACAAGAAAAACCATTGAGACTTACCATCAGAAAGTTCTTCATACTGTTTACAGCTTTTTGACAGTGGAGCAGGCTGCCTTGGGAGATGGTGGACCCCCGTTAGTGTTTTTTAAGCAGAGGCTGGCTGGCCACCTCTCTGTGAAGCTGCAGCCGTGGGTCCCCTGCAATGCCAGGACCAGACGCCCTTTGAGGTCTCTTCCAACTACATGAGTCTAGGATACGTCAAACAAAAGGTTTGACCACTGGCGATGTAAGAGAACATAGTTTTAGTGGTTGAACCAGTAAAATACTGGTTGGTTGACAATCCTGGGAAACTCTTTTCCTGTATGTTCCTGTTTCTCCTCTCTTTTTTTAATTAGTCTGTCTGTCTCTTTGATGGGAGCGAATGCTGCCATCTGGACTGTCTTTATTTTGGTTTACTTTGAACAGTTTTTTGTGGAGATTTTTTCCCCCTTCACTGTGACAAACTTTGGAAATGCCTAATTTAAACAGTCCACAAACCTGTGAACTCGCATCCTTCATAAAAGTGCAAAACATCTTAAGACCATAATCTTCATCTGAGTTCTTATCAAAGCAGACATGAAACAAGGACATTTATCAGGTGACGTGTTTCCTATCACTTTATCTCTATGCTTAGGGAAAACGTCACCTGTCCTCTGGGCTGCTGTTGAAGGCAAACAATAAAACATAGTGACAACCCCAGCACCCTCATGGCATCGCCCGCTCCCCTGCAGCCTTTCCCAGAGGTAAGTAAAGAGCATACTTTCCATCGAGCAAATTCCACTTTATTCCACTGTAATAATGATGCAAGGATTGATGTGAGTTTTAAATCTGAAGCTGCACATGTTAGAAGATTTCTTTTTTAAAATAAATGAATAAAATGGTATTTGTTCATTCGTTTTGCTCTAGCAATATAAGAAAAAAAACCCTATTGTTTAGGTAAAACACACATCTAGTCCAGCATGCTGTTCTCACAGAGGCCAACCAGAGGCCCATGGGAAGCCACAAAGCAAGCCTTGGCACAAGAGCACTCTGAATACCTGTTGTTGTTGGCATGCGTCCGTCTCAGGAGTTCATGGAATACGCCTTTGTGGGCTGAAGTCAAACCACTGTGATTGCAGCACTGAAGTGATCTCCCTGAGGCAATGGACAGTGTGTCTGGAGGTTCTGGATTGAAATGAATTGAAATACTTTATTGTCACTTGCGCAACTTGTATACAGTGAGATTACACAAGCACCCCCCACTCAGCCCTCTTAGTCTTAATTCCCCTCGTTTACTGACGCACACCTACCAAACCCGAAAGTCAGTTGCCCTGTTGTTATCTTTTCATTCAGCAGCCTAACAGCCCACGGATAGAAGCTGTTCTTTACCCTGTTGGTGCGACTAATCATGCTTCTATATCTTCTGCCCGAGGGCAGGAGATCAAGAAAGTGCTGGCCAGGGTGTGAATCATCCCTGAGAATTTTCCTCACTCTCCTGAGGCAACGTTCTTCTGCGATGTCATCCAGCGGATTCACGGGACAGCCCATAATATCCTGTGCTGTATTCACCACCCTCTGTAGGCACTTCCTATCAGTTGATGTCAAACCAGCATACTACACTCTGATGCAGTATGAAAGGACACTTTATATTGTGGAACGGTAGAGGGAGATCATCAAACGTTGATTGCCCAGACAACAAGACCTGCCTCTCAGCCTCCTTGATGTGGTCCAAAGCAAAGCACAGAAATACATTTGGCACCAGCTTGCCTGTGGAAATTGCTGGAAGGAGGCCCACAAGGCGCCATCCGACCATCTTAGGGAATCCACTCTGGATTTGTATGGGGTTTATTCCTTAGCCTTTTCTTCTTCCAAGGCAGGAGAAGTTTAGGACCAGAGATTTCCTTCTCCTCGATGGGCTACCTTCCCAGGTTGTTGAGCTCTATCTGCCCCTCAATTCCCTCTACAGCATGTGCAGAAACCACCTTCTTTTTTTCCCCTTCTTTTTTTCTATGATCTGGTAACTTTCATTTTTTTTTAATAAGATATTTATTGAAATTTTCAAGGTGTTACCAAATAAAATAAAAACAGTAGAAAATACAAAATAAAAATAATTAACAAAGTAGAAAAAGAAAAAGAAAAAACAAACCCCTTCCAACCGTATGTGTACAAATTCAAAAATGAGAAAAAGTGACAGAAAGAGAAAAAAAATGCAAAAATACATCACACAAAATTAAAAAACATTTAGAAACAAATTCATTATTCTCATATCCTCAACTGTCATTACCCTCTTTCTTTGACCTCCTCCTCCTCCCTTTCTTTGTATCCTAGTTATTAATTATCCCAGCAAATCCTTACCATATTTCATAATATTCTGTCATTACATTACCCTAAACTGTTTTAATCTTATCTTTCTGTAATAAAATAAACCTTAAAGTTTAAAACTTAAATCTTATCCTTACCATCTTCTCATAACCATAATATTCTTTCATAATTCTTTAAACATCTTTACTAAAGCCAAATAATTTCATTCCAACATTTTTCTAACATTCATCAATTTTATAAAACAGTTCTAATGGTAGAAAAAAGAAATACAAACAAATCCAATCTTCATCCAACGTCCCTTCCTCCTGGTTCCGGGTTTTGTCAGTCCTTATTATCCCATCGATCTAGCCCATTAACCTGGCAGCCTTATATCCGAGGCCCTCAAGTCTCTTCCATGTCCCTTCCGCCGCTCTTCTTCATATTTGTAACTGCATTTTCCCTTGTCTCCTGCTCGTGGTGACTCCAGCTTGGCAATATTTTTAACCCTTCTCGATAGATCAACCCCTTTTCCATATTCAACGCTGAATTCCATATGGTATTTAAAAGCATGTTTCAAAGACCCTCCGAAATTAAGAGCCCCCACAATCCCAGACATCCCACGGCCCATTGTCAGATTTGAAAAGTCCAAACATCCCAGCATAGGGGGGTCAATCCAGCCCCCCATTTCCAAGCCAAACCAAACTTTTTCTTTCCAAATCTGGCTTTTTCCAAGTTCATTTGTCAAGTCCGAAAGCTCATATTCCTGTTGGGCCTTTTCTATCAGGACACACTCCTGATTTACTTCCTGAGTGGGCTCCACATATTTTCCCACTGTTCAAAATTTCCCACTGCCTGTTCAAAATTTCTAGTCGAAGTCGCCATCCAATTCACCTTTTCATGTAATTGTTCCAATAGGGCATTTGTTTTATAGAAAGCACACAACAAAGCTTCTGAATACATTGTCCTGCAAGGTCAAATGCCTGTTCCCACGATTGTTATCTTATAACAGCTGCCGGCTCCCTGGAGTTGGTTACAGTTACACAGTCTCCCTCTAGGGGGGAAACTTGCAACAAAGTTTCCCTTTTTGAGATACTTTGTCAATATTTGTTACTTAAAGATGCGAAGGGAAGCAGTGGAATCGCTATGTTTCTCTTCTTTTAGCTATCTGTCAAAATGCTTGTCTCTGGTCAATGAACTTCAAACGTCAGTTCTGACACCCCGCTCCAGGATCAGGACGGAGGAAAGTTACTTTATTTAAACTCACTTTAAACAGTCCAGAAAAGATCCCCCTCCTTCTCCTGCTGTCGAAGGGGGGTTCCACAATTTTAAATGATGAAATCCAATCCTTTAAAGACGATTTTCTAAGCTCTAGTTTACGTTGTCTTTGCTTTATTCTGTCTACAGAAGACTGGGAGGCTGACTTCCTGTTTAGACCTTCCGCCCGCATCGTCACTCATCGATTTTCGGCCTAGGGGACACGTCCAGACACTACTTAAAGAAACAACAGCACGATCCCCGCCGCCGCCAAGCCTCGCCGTGGCGGCAGCCATGGCCCTCGCGCCGCTGGACTTCCACCGCAGGCTAGACATTTGCCACACGGGTCCATGGTCCCCGCGCTCGGCCGCAGATCACACCGTGGCCCCACGCGCCGGCGGGACCTCCTGCCGCACACAGACACCGCCAGCTGGCACGGGCGCTCCCAGATGGTCCCCGCTTCGGGCCGCTGCTGGTCGCCGCGCCGCCGCGTACCTCCGCGCCGGCGCGGCCGCGACACGCCTGTGGCAGCCTCCGAGGCCCCCCGCGCCGCCGCCGGCGCCTCAGTCGCGCCGGGCATCCGCCGGCGCGCGCGATATCGCCGGCACCGTATCCGAGGCTCGCCCGGGTCACAAGCGAGCCCGCTCGCGCCGGGCGGACCTCCGCCGGCGGCACAGTGTATCTGCTTCAGTTACGGCCTCCGAGCGCTCCGCTGGCCAGCAGTTTTTCCGGCTCCCGCGCCTTCCCGGGCGTAACTTTCCGCCAAACGCAGGCTTGGTGATGATTTGCCCGAGCACGGGAGCCTCCCGAGGCCTGGCTTGGGCTACGAGTTTGGCTTCCGGCTTCCCGCGCTGGCGACCTCCTGCCGGCGCTGGCTAATGGATAACCGCCAGCATCGGGAGTCTGAGGCCTCGCGCCGGCGAGCAGTTGTAGCCGCTCGGCGCTGCCGGGCGACCTCTCCCGCGCAAGGCTGACGCCGGCTACCGGAGCTCCGAGGCCCCCGGCGCCGCGCTGGCTGGAGCCGCGCCTGCGCCGGCCATGGACCGCCGGCGCGGTCGCGGGACGGCCAGCACAGCCCGAGGCCTCGGCGGCGACAGCAACCGCGCCCGCGCTGGCGACTTTCCGCCGGCAGCTGCGGATGCTCGGCAATATCCGAGGCCCCGCGGTCGCGTTTATGGTTTCATCGTCGCGCGCTGTCAGACCTCCGCCTTTGGCGCATGGCTTGCGGACTTTTGCCTTCGCACGGAGTCCCGGAGGCCTCGCGTCGGCGATGAGGCTGGCGGCCTGTCACCGGCACGAACTTCCGCTGGGCGCAAGGCTTCAGCGACCGCTTCGCGCACGGCTCGATGCCCGCGCGCCGGGCTAGCAGGCTGAACGCCCACACCGGCACCTCCGCCGGGCGTGGCGTTTATGATATTTCGCTTTGATACGGCCCGATACCGCGCCCGGCCGCCAGGCTGGCGTCGCCCCGCGCCGCGGCTGACCCCGCCGGCTGGCGCCCGCGCGGCACGCCCGCCACCGATCTCCGAGCACCGGCGGCCCGGCCGCGCTTGCCACCGGCCCCCCGGGCTGCCGGCACTCGCCCGGCCGCGCCGGCGGACACCGCCGGGCACGGCGGCTGGCCGCCGCAGCTCGCGGACCGCGGAACCCACCGGCTCGTGTGGCAAGCTTGCGGATAGTCAGGCCTGAGAGCGAGGCCGGTGCGCACCGAGCGCCGCCTCCAGGCTTCAGCGCAAAAGTTTGCATTCGCTTCAGATGACACACATTTCCTCTACTCTTGGAGGAAAAGGTCCATGGAGTCAAAATACAAAATAAATTTTTAAAATCCAATTCCTTTCTACTCACAAGTCCTTATCTAATGTCCAGTTGTTCAGAGTCTAAGTACTCACGGGTGCTTATTTTAGAGTTCAAATTGTCCCAGGAAAAAGGCAGCGCTCTCCGGCAACGGCTGTGCGGCTTCACTCCACGGAAATAGCAATTGACTCACAGCACCATGCCACTTCCCCCTCTTCACTTCGGAGCCCGTTAGTGGGTTCCTTGGCGAGTTAGGGGGGGCGCTAAAGGTGCCCGCCGAGTCCCATGGTCACAGGCTTCATCCGCCTGTGATTTTTAAAAGGGTCCCCGCTTCGCTGTAGTGGAAAAGACCCATTTCCCGCGGAGCTAGTCCCTCCTGTTCAGAGGGAGTCCGCCATTGCTGATGGCGCCACCCCGGAAGTCCCAGAACCCACCTTCTTGACAGTGATGGTGGTTGTGGGGAAAGGGAAATAGGAATAAAACAATTAACTAAAGCAATATACATGGCTATCTAAAGTTTGTGGACGTAAGACTCTTCAAGTTCAGTATCAGAAATCACCACTGTCTCAGATCCATCACTGCAATATTGAGATGCCCAGATCGTATCTGAGAACCTGAAGCAGAAAAATTTGTCAAGTCAAGGAAGCAGAACAGAAAATCCCACACAAGGAGGAGATGAACACTGTGGCATATATTATTAATTGTGAATTATTCACTCAGCTGCACAGAACACTGTAACCAGGGCTATTGGCTTAATCTGCAAAGTTTTCACATCCCTGGATTTGAAAGCCGGTGGTAACAGTCATCTGAGCTGACTGAATATAGCAGTGTTTTCCATGTTCACTGGCTCCATTGCCCCTCCCCCACCTTGTCACAGTGCCTTTATATTTGCTTTATATGTGTCTATGAATGATAGACGCATAGCAGCCCTAGAACATCTTCAAAAAACTAAAGCTGATCTAAAGAGGCAGATCTTTAGGAAGGCCATAAATGCTGTGGTGGCTAATCTGTTAGAAAGTGTGCCCCAAGTCAAGACCGCTCTGGTGTGTGCTGCAATACTTACACAGATTTCCCTGCTATGGGGAGGTTTTGGTTCTTGAGAGCTGACCCAGGCAGCAATTTATCTGTCTGTTTGTTTGTCGTACTAGTAGCTTTCAATAAGTTTAATCAATAGAATAACCAACTTGGCTGATTGGCTAAAGTGGGGGCCAGTTTAAATAAGTGAAGATACAAATTAAGGACACCCAAGTTTATTTTAGTGTACTATGGCACAGTGGAGGGAGAAAGCCTTTCTTTTCCTTTTGTATGTTAAATTGCAAGTTATCGTGCACTATGTTTAATATCTCAGAAAATGCACTGCTACTGACGTTTTGCTAATACACACATTTTATTGAGATTGGATTGCTGAATCAGTCCATTAAAGGGGAAAATTATTCACCAGCTACAAATCCTTTCTCTGGTTGACAGCCTTGTTATTAATAATACGGTATTTCCTCAAGTGTTTCCCAATGAATCAAGAGTACATGACTTTTGTGTCACATGTTGGCCAGTCATGTACTAATGATTATCCTAGCAGAGAATGCAAAGGAGACCAATTAAAGCACCAAAAAATATATATACTATGTTTCATTGCAAGTCAATACAGCCACTTCATATTTTTGCTTTTGGGTATGAGCACAGGAATGACTCCTGAACAATTTGTAAAAGAAAAAAAAAAGCTTCAGATAAATTGAAACACGATGACAGTCTCTGGGGAGAAGGAATAAATTCCTTGACATTCAAGGGAGCAGAAGGAACAATATCAGGTACCTCCGTCGTAAGATAAAAGCAGGGGGCAATTGAAAATGATCTTTGATGACTTGTGACTCAGTATCACGGCAGCCCAGGGTGCTGGCTGACTGTTATGTATCCCTTGGAGAGGGAAATGAATAGCGCAGAGCCGCAAAGAATGTGCGCAGCGAAGAGGCGGGAGAGAAAACTCAGCCTTGCAAATGTCACTCTGGGTGTAGAATGACTGTGAAGGTGTGCCAGGCCTTGATATTACCAGGTAGGAAGGCAGGTGGGCAAAGGGAGTTTTTACACAGTCTTAAAAGAGAGACCCAGGAATCTGGCATGACCACGATGATTTCCCATCTCACTTTTTATGTTTCAGGGAAGCTCCTGAAATTTGCCCTGAGGTTTCTGAACTAATGTGTGCTGAATTTATAGACATGTTTGGTGGAAGAACTGAACCAATTATCCACTCCTGTAGTCTTGTCACACTGTTAATTTTCTTCATGGAGCAATTACTGTGCTCTGATCTCAATAGTTAATGCAGAATTTGGTGTGTGTGTGTCTATAGCAGCCCTTTGCTGATTTAGCTACCGACTGGCCAGGAGTGATTATCAGTATTACAATTTTAATTTTTTCTACTTCGCCTAATTTCCCAAAGGAAGCCAAAGTGGCTAGCAAATAAGTTAACAGCTGTATAAAAACAAATCATATTCATCAAATTAAACCGAAGAACAAAATCAAAGTACAAATGTGAAAAACTGAAACAAGTTTAACAAAAAACAGAATTACAGAACAGCCATCAAAACATTAAAGTAAGATAGCAAAAAACAACTCAGCTAAAGTCCCTTTCAAGAAGGCCCAACGTGGGGTTGTGCTGGGTCCTGCAGTGTGCTGAGAGAGGATTATGGCTCCCCATTAGTGACCAGGTGCCTCCAGGCTTGAGAGGTCAAAGCAATGTTCCCTTAGGATGTTCAAAGTATCACGCTGCACTCACTTCTCATATATTTCAAAACATGCTCAGATACGGTTGCCATATTTCAAACAGTGAAAATCCGGACAGAAAAGTTGTTGAGCTTTTTTGGCAAAATAACAAAAAAACCCCGTTATCCAGCTATTTTTATGGAAGATCGGTAAAAACGACACTGCTGACATGGATTGCCATATGTCAGGATTTTCCCGGACATTTTACCAATTTCTGCCAGGACACTGTTGCCAACTGCAGTATTCCGGTTATGTCCGGGAAATTCCAGACATATGGCAACCCTAGCTCAGAACCCATCGGAAACTAGGCATGTCACGGGCCCATTCTGAGAATATTTCTCCACAACCAGAAACTGAGGTTGCAAGTTCTGGTTTGGGTGGATATGTGAGGAATTTCTTCAGTTTGTACAAACCTGTGATTAGCAGGTTAATTTGCCAGACATCAGCTGGATATCTTTGATATTGATCTCAATTCAGGCTCTCAGGCCTTGGTCTGAGACAATAGCTCTGTTCCCCCTTATTGCACATTCTCTGCCAGAATTTGTAAATCCATTCCGGATGGTCAAGGCCATGGCAGTGTTATTGGCCCTGCCCCGCAGTGTGGGACTCCCTTGCAGACGACTGCAGTGCCTAGAGACAGTCAGACCAGTGACCAGAGGAGGAATGACCACTGGGAGGATTGCAGAGAGAAGGAATACCATGGTGCATCTGCGGCAGCACCACCACCAGACGCCTTCATCTGCTCCATCTGCAATGAAACATGTCTCTCCCATATCAATCTCTACAGCTGCAGCAGGCGCTGCAACCGGCCAACAGTTTGACTTCACCCCCCAAACTAAACTCCTCCATTGTCTCCTGAAACAGATGGATGCCAACCAGTAGGCAAGCCCAGAGAAGGTATATGCAGAACAGGCTAACCCGAGTCTTTGACTCATCCACAATGGATGACTGCAACAAAGGCGGTGGGTCCAGTGGCTTAATGTGTGGTGGCATCTTCAGCCTAGTTATAGGATGGAGACTGCTTTGGTTATCCTGAGGGATGACCTTTACCCGGACAAAGGAGGTGTCCTGCTGTGCTGGATCTCTCAACTGCTTTCAATACCATCAATCATGATATCCTTCTGACCTGCCAGATTGGAGTGAGATTGAGTTCCAGTTCTTATCTTATTTGTCTTATACATTTAAGACAAATAACAAATGTTGGAAATGTAAAGAAAAAGAAGGAACATTTTATCATATGTGGTGGGAATGTAAGAAAGTAAAGAACTTCTGGGAAATGATATATAACGAGATGAAAAAGATGTTGAAATATACATTTTTTTAAAAAACCAGACGCATTTTTACTTGGTATTATAGGTCAGGACATTAATAGGCAAGATGTTAAATTGTTTTTATATGCAACAACAGCGGCAAGAGTATTGTTAGCCCAGAAATTGAAGCAAGAAGAAATTCCGATGAAAGAAGAATGGCAGACAAAATTAATGGACTATGACAGGAATATTCGAAACCTGCGAGACCAGAGATTTACAGAAGATTGGGAAAAGTATACGAACTATCTGAAGAGCAATTGTAATCAACAAATTACTATAGTAGGACTACAATAAGTTTTGTAAGGAGAAATATATGAAACGTTACAAAGTAGAAAAAGAACAGAGATATTAGTTATGAGATTTAAATGCAATAGGGAAAGTAAGAAATGTATACTAAGTGAGTAGATTGGAAAATTTTCAGATGAGATTGATGGAAGTAAAAAAAATGGTAAAAGATGTAAAAGTATGTTTAATTATTGTTGAAAATGATATGTTAAAAAATTAATTAAAAAATTT